CCAAACATTCAGCTATTAGGACTAGTACATGGTGTATGTGTACTGTATTTCTCATGAAGTAGCCTTCTATTTCAGACAAAGGGAGAATTTCCTGATCCTAAGTTTAGAGATTTTCAGAACATAATGGAAAGAACTTGTATTTAAAATAATGCTTGGTGATCTTATTGAAGTGAGTGTTACATTTTAGTAAACTATTAACCTGTGCATAAAGACTAGCTACTTTTTAGATACAATGTCTAGTTTTAATATTTAATTAATTGAAACTCAACTGTTTACATGAAAATGAATTTCTTACTATTGTAAGATGTCTAGATCATTTCTGTTTAGACACAGTTCAAATTTAATAAAGCTAAAAATGGTACTGTTTTAGAAAAAGTATCAACAGTTGGTGCAACAATTCTTAATCAATAGAATGATATGTATTAGGATATTCACTTACTATTTAGCATTGCTAGCATGTCCACTGTGACTCTCTCAATTCCTGCAATGCTTTTTAAAAATGTCTCTAGCTAGATAAGGCACATCCAATAAAAGATACACCTCCTGAAATTCTGTTGACCTCTTGATAAGAACACTTAATTGACAATTGTTCTTTCTGATTCCCGAGGTTAAAAAGAATCCCTGAGATATGTCTGTAGAGTCTGTCTTTTTTGTAAATTCCCCAAGGATGAGTCACTGAAAATGAGTTACCTCATGGAGGTGATATACTCAGTAATCTGCCTGTCTCCTGTGAAATTGCTGAGCTGAATAGGAATACTGTCAGTACCACCAGGAGCAAACCGGCCCTCCAGATAGAATGCAAAATACTGCAACAGCAGATGCTATTGAGTTGGGGGAAAGGCAGTCACTGAACCAACTGTTGATGAAATGCACAAACACCTCTTATCTTGAAGCAAATTAAGCTTCAACTTGCTTGACCATTTTTAATGTGTTGGAACTAAAAAGGAATACAAAGTTTCAGTGGATTTGGCTATGTTGAACTGGCCTTGCAATTGCTCTAGTCCCAGTACAGATCATTCTGAAAAATAAAGTGAGTAAAACATGACAATATGGATGCCCATTTTAAAAAAACAACAGTCCACCATGCAAACTGTGCCTAATTTTGTTCCTTTATAGCAGGGGTGTGGAACTGGATCCAACCAGCAGACCAGATCCTGACCTTCCCCTAGCCTCCCCCTCCCTCAACCCTTTCCAATTCCACTGCCCACTTTTCAGTCACCTGACATCACCATGAAATCAAACCACATCAGCAAAGGCAAATGAGTTATGAGCTCTGACAATCAGTTGATCAACATCTGTAAGCCCTGCTTTCAGAAAGGAGCCACTTCTTTACCTGCCCCACTCCAGACTCCATAGGTGCAGGGCAGGTGGGCATGGCTTGGGGAAAACTGCCTTGCGAGCCAAACTGGGCCCCTGCCAGGCTTAATTACGCCAGCAGACCAGTGGTTCCTTGCCACAACTTTACAAGATTAAATGACTAAATTAGCAACAACCTCAAGGCCATAATCATGTGGAACTTGTACTGAGTTTATAGCTCACAAATGCCAGTCTTGCCAGAATAAGCAGCAGTGTCGAAGGCCCAGCAGTGAACATTTTCCATTAATCCGCTCCACTTCCCAGTGGGGAGGAGTTGCAGTGGACCGTGCGGTCACCCACTCCTTACCGGGGGCAATGGGGGACTTTGCCAATCCGCTGGCCGGGGGGCGTGGCTGGGGCTCGCTTCCTCAATCATCCGCCCTCCCTCCCTATTTTGCATGTTCAGAACTTTCATCAGGCTACTGAGAAGAGCCAAGAGCTGCAGAGCGTACAGCTGTCCTGGTGAGGAGAAACTCCACTCCCATGGACCAAAACCTCTAGTCCTACCTGACCCTAGTTGCTAGGGGGCAGGGAGAGAAGAGAGAATAATTTCCCACTATGGCCATCATGGTACTTTCAAAGAGCAGGAGTTTAAGCGGTATCAGCAACAGTGCTATCTGCAGCCTGGGTAGTGAACATTTCCCATCAGGGCTTTTGTAAGACATCACTGAATTGCAAAGGTATTATATTATGTATCCCTTGTAAATAAGTTCGTAACAGTTACTAGCCTGAAAAAAATGTTTGCTAGTAGGCTCAGGGTTGGTGGAAGGAGGTGTAAGAACACCATCCTTCCTGCAAGAGCCTACTTCACATCTATGTGAATATGAATGAGGCACTCTGTCCCTCCTCCATCAGCCATTCACTCTCCTGCATGCACTCACCAACATCAAGTTCCCTTCTTACCTATGTTTGTCAGGCTAATGCGTAAATACAAAGCTGCTTATGTGTTTTTTATATATTAATTATTCTCTTATTAGTACAGTGGTACCTCGGGTTACATACGCTTCAGGTTACATACGCTTCAGGTTACAGACTCCACTAACCCAGAAATAGTACCTCGGGTTAAGGACTTTGCTTCAGGATGAGAACAGAAATTGTGCTTCAGTGGCGCGGTGGCAGCAGGAGGCCCCATTAGCTAAAGTGGTGCTTCAGGTTAAGAACAGTTACAGGTTAAGAACGACCTCCAGAACTAATTAAGTACTTAACCCAAGGTACCACTGTAACTGCATTGGAGGAGGCATAAATATTATAAACAAGCAAATAATACATTGTCACCTATTCCCCAAACTATCAAAGCAAGGCATGCTAAAAAGCTAGATTTGTCAGGGTTGCACTTCAGGGTTCCTTCACCCACCCACTGAGATAGGCTTCTTGCTCTCTGGAGAGCTCCTGAACGGAAGCCCTTTAAATTCAACATGGCTTTTAAGAGCTGGTCAAGGAGATTGCTATGTATACTCTGCATTAATAAAACCTTAATTCCTAACCAAAAAACACCCTGCTAGTCGAACATATTGTGAATATTAATAAAAATGTGCATTCATTTGCAAATTTTAATGTATAGCTTGGCATGCCTGCTAGCAAAGAACAAAACCCTTTACATCTGGAGGTCCTGTTTCCTTCCCTACTTTATTTTAGCATACATTGCCCAGATGTTTTCAAGTATAATTCCACAGCCTAAGCAACTAAAACAATGGCCTTAAACAACCAACCCAAAAGATTACTTGAAAGTAAGTCCCACTGAACTCAGATGAACTTACTTCTGAGTAAATGTGTACAAGACTGTGCTGTAAAAAACAACCACCTTTCTTGAGATTCTGGATACATAATTCTGCATGTGTGATTTAGATGAACAGAATACACCCAGATCTTAGGCAGCAGCTGTCAATACTAATTGTATAACGTTGATTACAGGGTTTTGGGGTTTTTTAAAAGGAAGACCTGAGAGGGTGTGCTTAATTCTTGGATTTTTTTTATAAATAAAATTGTTGGTGCCACTCATCGATGAAAAGCCCAAAAAGCTCACACCCAAAATGGTTGGCTTTGAAATATAAAGACTCTCCAGAGAATTAGAGGAATGGTTTTTCACAACAGCAGCATGAATAGATCTTTGAACTATGTGAGCACTTGGGCATTTCTTGAAAGGGTTGGGACAAAGAACTAGTTAGGCCTGACATGGTACACAGAAGAGCACTTAAGGAGTGTGAATGCAGTCAATTTGGAGATCATTTTATACAACATTTCTGGAGTTTAAGGCAGAGAATAGGTTCCAATGACACTGGAGGAACTCAAGTGTCAAATGAGTGAAACTTCAAGACCTTTCAACTTTGTCTACTAGCTAGTGTTAAAGGAGTCAATGAATAGAAAACACAGCCAATCTTTTGCTAAGTAGGTGGTAGTTTCGAACAAACACAGGCACACCTCATTTTAGGCACACCACACTTTCTTGTGCTTCACAGATATTGTTCCCTATGAGGATTTGGTGCAGTTCCAGGCAGCTGGCCACTTCCAAAGGAAGGAAGCCCCTACAGCCTCTGTACTGTCCATGGGAATGAAGTTGGCTAGGGCTGGAGCTGAGTTTTTCCACTTCCGCCCCTGCAGCCAAGGATATTCACGTTGCTTAATAGACTATGGTACAGTTTAAAAATAACTTTTAAGTGCACTGGGAACCCAAAATTTCTTTGACTCATATTATTGCGACATTCACTTTATTGTGGTGGTCCGGAACTGCAATATCCCTGAGGTATGCCTGTACAGAAAAGCTGATGCATCAGGTGGAGCTCTACGTTACAACACGTTTAGCATAAGGTTACCAGATTTTTTCAATTACCGGTAATCCGTGGACACTTTTCAATTTCAATGGATTTTGTATGGGGACTGATTTGTAAATCCAGGGACTGTCCCCAGGAAACGGGGACATCTGGTAACCTTAATTTAGCACATTGGTTAATTCAGTCTGGCTGCCAGGCTTAATAGCAGAAAAAGGGTGCAGTTCTAATATTCTATTTTGACAAGCCTCTCACTTCCCAGCCCTATCCCTCAACAGTATCTCCTGAATTGACAATTTTCTTTTAAAAAGATAATTTAAGTATCAGTATTGTTAAGCAGGCTGCTCATTATTATGTCAAACACTTAGCCAGCACAACTGTTCCCTAGCAGCAACCAATATACATTTGCAACAAACCATTTTTTATTTCTACTTGAACCATTGTGGGCAGAGGCGCCAACTTGCACCCAAGATTCAGGGGCCCGACGTGCGGTACACATGTGATGTTATGCGTGTATCATGTGTGATATCACACACATCATGCATACGTTACATCGCCTGGAGAAGGCCAAGCACGGAGACCAGCATGGCGTGGCTTCAATGACCAGAGGCTCCTACTCTCTCATGCTCAGCAGGAGCCAGCCACTGAAGCTGCACCATGCTCAGCCTCTTCTGCCCCCTGAGGGGGCCCAGCCCCTTCCCAACAGATATTGAGGGGGTCAAAGAGACCTTGGCCCCATAGAGTTGGTGGGCCTGGTTGTTGGTGACATTTGTCATTGGTTCATTTTCACAAAAGTGTCAAACCTGTCAAGAACATGAGGGGTTTCTGTTTTTTTTGTGGGGAAGGATGTGTGAATCTTTACTACTGTAGCAACTGTACCTTCTCTTGACCAGCCTTTGTTATTCTTGGGATGTCAAACAGCTGTCCTGTGTAGTACTGCACACCACTGAACAGAATTATGGCAATAGAGTCCCCTTCCTTCTCAATTACAGCAAGGATATCTTCAGTTCTCAAGGTCTCCTCCCCCTGAAATAAATTTAAGCACATATTTTATATCAACCCTGGCAGTGCTGAAACTGTCATTTCTTGTTTCATAATCTATTTTTTATGATGTGCCTCGCTGACTTCAGTAAGCGATCAAAAGCAAATCCTTAACATGGCAGTAATCTACGAAAGTAAGAGCCCTGGAGTAACCTTTGAATGGGTGAATGATCATTAGTAACATAGCTTCAAGATGGTAAATTATTCTTATTACTATTCTTATCATTATCGTTATCATTATTATTAAAAAGGATATTCACGTTGCTTCCTTATATGTTTTGCTTGCCTGAACACTTCAAGATTCCCTTAACTGGCTTTTTGTTTTTTAAGATGTAAAAAGATGTAAATTTTGATTCAAAGAGAATACACAGAGGGGGAGATGCTGGTGACTACTGTGAGCCTTCCCCAAGAAGCTATGGCCCAGCTTGCTATTAACGATGCATCATCAATAGAAGATTCAGTTTTCCAATCTAAAATTAAGACACTCGCAATTGAGAATGGAAATTATGGTATCACCATATGGACACATGACAATTGTCCAAACATGCCACATTTCTATATCCTGTGAGCCTTAATTTAGTCGTATTATTTGCAGCCTTTCACAAAATGTTATAATGTGCACTACTTCATATAGTTTTAAAAATCCACAGAATATGTGTCTATAACCATAGGTATTCATCATGGCAGTACAGTGGTGCCCCGCAAGACGAATGCCTCGCAAGATGGAAAACCCGCTAGACGAAAGGGTTTTCCGTTTGCGATGTGCTTCGCAAGACGAATTTCCCTATGGGCTTGCTTCGCAAGACGAAAACGTCTTGCGAGTCTCGCCATTTTTTCCTCGCTTCCCCCCCCCCCTTTTTCTAAGCCGCTAAGCCGCTAATAGCCTTTTAGCAGCTAAGCCGCTAAGCCTTTAATAGCCGCTAAGCCGCTAATAGCGCTAATCCGCTTAGCCGCTAATGGGGTTGCTTCGCAAGACGAAAAAACCGCTAGACGAAGAGAATCGCGGAACGGATTGTTTTCGTCTTGCGAGGCACCACTGTATGTGGAATGTATGGAACTTCAAGATTCAGAGTTAAATATGCCGCTGAATAGCAGCTTCTGAGGAATAACAGCGGGAGAGAGTTAATGCCTTTGAACTGCACTTGTGGACTCACCAGAGTTGCATGGCTGTGGGAAAGAAGATGCTGGTATAGATGGGCCTTTGTTCCGATTCTGAAGAGCTCTTCTTATGTGAACCTGTGTGTATAGCCTAAAGCATAGCCACACACACCCCAGTTGATGGACACTGCCATTCTTAAGGGAAAAGCAGTGTCAATCACTGTGCATTCTGTGGTTCCCTGCCAAATTAGGATTTCAGTGACATCCTAATTTGTCTCAACATGTCACCACTGACATATACACAACAACATAAAGATGTCAAGCTGGTCAAGACTCAGCAATCTATTTATATGACATTTTCAGTTCTGACATCTGCACAAGACTTAAAAAGCAGCCCCCCGCATCCCTCTTCACACTTTTAAGACAAACTTTGTATCCCACAGAAAGCTATTAAAAATGTTACTGTATTTGTCTTTCAGAAACAATAGCATTCATATAATTCAAAAATGTAAAAACCCTTAAGTCATTAAATATAGAGAAATTTGAAGGGGGTGGGGGGTGGAATCACTTTTTATCCTTTAAAGCCTGCATCCCCCACTCCCTTTCCTCATTTCCTCTTAGCAAGGGATCATGTAAAACACACCATCACCAAGGGATCAATTAAGCAGTGAAAACTCCAAATGAAATTAGACATGCCACTGCAAAGAGCTGAGATAAGATTTGCTGATTTGAAAGTAGCTCCTATTATCTTAACGATCTCTCAACATCTATCAAGGACTTGAGAGTAGCTTCTCACTTCTCTGGAAAGGGACTTTTTTTCAAGAATCAAAAGGTCATCAACAGTTCTACTATAAAGTAACAAAAGTTCTTCATGGTATTCTTTTATAACGATCCTAATTACATACTCCTCCAAGCAGAAACATGTTGCTGTAGTAATAAAGGAAACTGTATGTAGTCTTCATAGAACTTCTATAAAATAGAGAGTATTCTACATACTGAGACTCACATATACTGAAGCTCACAAATATATATACTCAGAGGAAGTACAGTATGAGGAACATACGAGTTTCAGTGTAGGAGTATTCAATGTAAGGGATATCATCTTCTGATTATTCAGTTTAGATTTGTAGAAACATTTAAAAATAAATAAAAAACATGATTTAAATATATATATATTGAAAAATATAAGTCCATTTTTAATACAATCCTAAAAACACATACAAAATAATAAAGTGGAAACATATTTATTTGTGTAAATTCCCTTAATTATGAATAAAATCAGGATAGCTAATACTGTAATAAAGTAAAAAACAACCCACAATGAAACAATGGTTTTAAAAATGTAAGATTTAAAGCTTAGAGGAGTGGATAAAATCTATTTCATTTAAGCTAATGCTTCTTCTTCTTTTTAAAAAAAGCTTTTTCATCATACCTGCTTGGGATATGTATCTATATACAGTGATACTTTGGTTTACAAACTTAATCTGTTCCGGAAGTCCGTTCTTAAACCAAAGTGTTCTTAAACCAAGGCGTGCTTTCCCATAGCAGCCAGCGGGGGACTCAATTTACAAATGGAACACACTCAATAGGAAGCGAAAAATGTTCTTATTCCAAGGCAAAGTTCACAAACCAAAATACCTACTTCCAGGTTTGCAGCTTTCTTAATCCAAGTTGTTCATAAACAAAGCTGTTCTTAAACCAAGGTACCACTGGAGTCATCTAAAATCTACTTTCCTGTGTTCAGAGAATACCGGTAAGTCCCCCTGGAGAGGCGAAGTTCTGGTGCAAGGAGAACATTTTTTCACTGTGGGTGTGGTTCTACTCTACTGAGTGCATCTCAGCAACAATTCCCCCCTCAACCTGAAATCACACTATGTTCAGGGTTCCAAGACTAGTTATACACTGAGAATGATGAACAAAAACTAGGGCAGTAACACAAAGGGAAATTTTCAGGTGCACAAAAGACAAATATTGTCATCTGTACTTTTCTGAATAGAGGGGTATTTGGGCTTTAGGTGAGTGTGTTTCAGCATGAATTGGAAGGACATATAAGGACTCAGGGCTCTCAGCAGCCAATTGATTTGGGGCACAGTGTTGTCTTGAGTGAAATGATACACAAAGATTTGGCTTTGGTTCAACCAAATGTTGCCAGGCTGATATATACAGTGTTCATGTAAGGGCATTCTCTTTTCTATTTCAATGAAATGTCAATGAGACCTGCAAAATAAATCATTTCCAAATTTGTTAGGTTTTGCCAGCTAAGATATCCAGAAAAAACAAGAGAATTTGAGTCAAGGTAGGGACAAAATGCAGGGAGGCACTGATACTTTCTGGTAACACCTATAGAAAAATGACTTTGCCTGGTGTTAAAAAGACATATGGGCTGATTCCATGTGAGCAAAACAACAACAACAACAACAACAACAACACATACACCCTTTCCCTAGTTGCTCCTGCCCATGTTTTTATGGTCTGTGAAAATGGGCAGGCTTCTATGGGGGAAAGTGGTCCTTTAAGTATGCAGGTCCAAGGTCATATTAGTGACAATACAAATTATCTCACATTAGAGACAAAGAAAGAAATATAGGGACTGAGCAAGTAAATCATAAATACAGGTTCTGATCCAGATGATCTGAATGCACAGCACAATGAAGTTATAACAATTCACTGTCAGTATTTTATACACCTTTACAATCAATGCTGGTAAAATCCCAAATCACTTCTTAAACTCATGAATGTTTAAAAGGATGTGGGAATTTGCTGTGAAGAACCACTGGAGGGCTACACTGAAAACTGAATATATACTTTAGCAAAGTGCTAACAGAGATGTACTATATTAGACAGGGTGTGATGAATAACCCCTATACAGTCAAGTATAGCATCAGCAGGGGTTTCACAATCATCCATTGATGTGGAAGTTTTTTAGACAAAAAAGTAGATCTGGGAAGACAAGGAAATTCTAAGAATAATATGCATTTAATTTTCTTGTCTCAGAAGTTCACAACAGGTTATTTATAATAAGTTGCAAAGAAAATAAAGCATAAGCATACCAATATCCATTCTTGATTAGATATCAATATAAAATACCCATTACAAACCTCTTGTGGTTCTATCATAAGCATACTGCTCTCCATATCTAGCCCATGAAATTGGAGTTGAGACTCAACAGCGTACTGTAAATAAAATATTGATTGTTTTAGTGAGCAAAGGTAAACAACAAAAGAAGCATTTCTTTCGCATAGCAACAATCAGCAGGATGTGTGTGCATGATGTGCTTGGGCAAATCTCTGAAAAAATGTTTCCAGTTCTACATGGTCTCTTCCTCTTTGCAATTCAGGGAACCATAGAAACATAGTATCATAGAATTGTAGAGTTGGAAGGGACCCTGAGGTTCATCTAGTCCAACCCCCTGCAATGCAGGAATAGGCAGCTGTCCCATACAGGGTTCAAACCTGCAACTTTGGCGTTATTAGCATCATGCTCTAACCAACTGAGTTATCCAAGGGCCAGTATCCAAGGACATAACTCAGTGGTAGAACACATGCTTTGCATCCATAAAGTTGTAGGTTCAGTGCCTGGCATCTCCAGTTTAAAGGGCTAGGTGGCAGATGATATGGAAGACTTCTGCATGAGAGCCTGGAAAGCTGCTGCCGGTCGGAGTAGATAATACTTGATTAAGTGGTATGGTTGACATGTTCTAACAGCAAAAGGCCCTGCTAAGCCCACACAAATCATTGCTATCTTCCTCTTGCTTCAGTGCTTCTAAAGATTATTGGGGGTTGGGTTTTCCCCAATGGTTTTCCCCAATGCTCTTCGGATATAATGCTATATGCAAACACAGGAATTTCTGTCACTTTTTTCTTGGGACCCACCCCTTATCTGAGTGCAGCTGGATGGTGTGGAACAGGCAAATTAGGAATTCACTCTCAAAACACTTAGCTTCCATCCAAACCCCTGGCCTGAAACCGGTCGTCTGGAACTGTATCCATGGCTTGATACAAATGAAAGAAATAACTTTCCAACAGCAACCTCTATGGTAGATTATGCATAGTATTATGAAGTAGGCTTGCTAAATGGGTATACTTGGGGAGACCAACAGAAATCATAATAAAAAATATACAGTAGTTGCAGAACAAAATGAAATTCAGTATAACCATTCAGTATTTGGTAGTCAAAAAATCAGCAAGTTGTATTAATCTCACAGGTGCACTGTCCCCATTCCCCATACTCAATCTCCTTTAAACTGAGAGTTAGTTGCAGAACTGTCATGTGGTATCAGATGGAGGAAAGGCATGCTACTATCTTTCTTTTTAAAATGTGGGTAATATATGCCAGAGCACATAAGAGGAATACTCAGCCTGCAGAGACAATCAGGGAGAAAACAGACTAGGCAGAAGACACATCGGATTTATCACAGCTACAAGGGTTAATGGTAAAAGACTGAAGAGAAAAGACCTCTGAGGGGTCTTTCCCACTCAGCGCACTGGGAGAGAAATGCCAACTACATGGAATACACTCATGCAATCTGCCCTCACTGGATGTTTGTATTATTTCTATGCAGCCCTCAGCCGTTTGAGACCAAAGCACAAAAACACAGCTCTTCCTTGGTTTCATATTGTTATATATCTGGGATACCAGAGTCTGAAGGTGCAAAGGCCCTCACAATTCTAGGAAGTTAGTGAATGTTGAAAATTAATGAATGTCAGATTTTAGCTAATATTTGGGGTATTGAATATTAGGCTGCAGAAGTTCTCCTGAACTGGGCGAAACGTGGAAGTTTAGCTTATGCAATCTAGCCTGGCTGGGCTAGTTGAGTGCAAGCCATTATGAAACAGTGGCTGGACATCAACACATCAAAGAAAGATCCCTGGGTCTGTGCAAAAAGGGGTTGCCAAGTTTACAGGGAAGGGGTGCGATGCCAAGGCAGGAAAAAAAAGTTTCCCTTTTAAAACAGAAAAGTTTGGAGAAGTGGAGGCTTAACAAAGCTTGGGACGTAGAAAGAAGGTTGCCAGAACTTGAAGTAGAACTCCATGCGGGGCGGAAGGGCCAAACCATACTGGTGGGCTAGCTGAAGGCAGGCTGGGGCAGAGACACAGAGATGCCTTGGAATATGTCTATGGCTCAAACAACATCTAACATTAGTTATGCAGTTGTGCCTTTAAATGCAGGGTTTTCTAAAAGTAAATTGTCAGTGCATACATAACTCCCTATCCCAAATTCTTACATGGGTAGGGGTCTTGAACTCTTTGTCCTCCACTATCATTCCAATCCAAGTAGGGAACCCCATGTATGCATTCCATAGAGGCGGAAATGTTCCCACTGAAGTGAAGGAGACACCCATTCATGTAAAGTAAATTACAGGTGCAGTTTCCAAGCTGAAAAAATGTTGTAATATTCCCAAAACTAACTACTGCATTGAAGGAAGATGTCTGTATTTCATACAACATATGAGCAACAAAAGAAAATTAGCTGGAAAAAGGTGTCATGTCAACTAATTGTCTGGCAGCCCAGAAAGGGTCTGAATTGCACCCTATGTGAGTTGCATTTGTAGAGATTTTTATAGTGCCTCAGTGATCAAATATCCCATCAATTTCTGAGTGTTTACAGAGTTTGATAAAGTAGCAGTGAGTCACAAATCCGAAGATTAATTTGCTGCAATCTGTGATGCATGGGCTATTGTCTCATTTTATAGCACACAAATGATGTTTGAATTAGTAATCTAAAGCACCATGGACAAGCATTTCCCTATCTGTCTAGGGATATAAAACTGTTAATGTTGTGAGCTTTGTATTGATTTGGTTTCATAAAGTAAAACAGAAACAAGAATTAATAAAACATTTACAACCTGTTGTTGATTTAAACCAACAGCTTGTTCAATGTCTTTAAAAGGACTAATAAATCAATATGGCCATTCAATCTTTTCCTTGTGCAAGGTTTTTATTTGAAGAAAAAGAATAAAGGCATGATCAGTAAAATATGCCAAGCCCAAGAGTACATGACCAGATTTCCTGTTATTTCTAAAGGAGGATCAGGTAATAAATAATGAGACAGGATTGCTGGTATGCTTTTGAAAGTCACAATGGATAACACAAATATTATGCAATATTAATTCCTTACATGGTCGGAGGGGAAAGCTTTGGCTTCCAGAAGGATTTTATAGCGATCTGCGGTAGGCTTAAAGAATGATAACTGTAAAAAAGGGTAAAATATTTATTAGTCCATAATTATTAACACTTATTCATTTCATTAGTTTAAGGTGGGCCTACCCCTAAGTCGCAACTTTTTCAGAAGTAACCAGCCACATCAACATGGTGCAAGATACAGTTATGAAATTTATGGATGCCAATATAAAATAGATATATAACTGTCCAGAGTAGCTGGGGAAACCCAGCCAGCTGGACGGGGTATTAACAACAACAACAACAACAACAACAACAACATATAACCCAGTTCTTTGGAAATTGATGGAGGAACAAGATGAATGGTTCCTGCATGCTGTCATGGTGGCTAAATGCTCCAGCCTTCCTTCTCCCCACAGTTGCTTGCGTTGCTGAAATGTGTCTGCACTACGTAAGTAAATTGAAAGCATGAAAAGAACCAGAGGTTGGCAGGGAAGTAAGTTTGCTGGGTAGGGTGGGAATTTGTTTCTGACTTGGATTTTGATCAAAGCATCAAAGCAGGAGAACAATTTGGGGCTCCTAATACTTCCTGAAACTTATATCCTAACTCCAAAAATACAAGTTCCATGGGCATCTATCTCTATCTCTATTTGCAATAGAAAGACTGCTCAGAACTTGGGAAATAAAGATTTCAATCTCAACAATTCTCTATTTCTAGTCCTCACTCAGTGACAGTGATACGTCGGTGGTGCGTGCAGTATACTAGCATGGGTAGTGCAACATGGGACCTGCAAATTTTTATATCTATGAAAGAGGAACTACAATCTCACATGAATTTATGGCTGTCATCATACACTGCTCACAAGTATGCTACTCAAATAAACTACTCTTTAGTTTAAGCTGGAAACCAAGTATATTGTTAGAACTGACGGCAAGAACCACACAGTAACAAGTCTGACATACTCAGGGTACACACACCAGGGCCTATCCCTCCCTATATCCCTGACCCCACCTTGATTGTCATGCATCTAATATATTTAGTCTGCCTCTGCCAATGACCTCTGAAAATTTACTTCTACACTCTTTTGGCAAATAAGTGGTTCGGAACTACAACAGTTTCTGATAAATGTCAGGAAAGCAGTCAAAATATCATTTTAGAGATGAATGTGGAAGCCTAAGAAGCAAGTAACAGGAGTGAGCATCTGATAGTGCTTTGAAAAGGGTGAGGTGGGTGGGTAGAACTCTGAGAGGAAATTCATAGGGCAGGGCGGTTGGGAATGAACTAACCTTATTGTGTAAACAAGGTAGCCAATGAAAAGTTTCATGAAAGCCCTGCAGATGCTCACAGCAGCAAAGGGCTCTTTGCAGTTAGGCTTCCAACCTGAGATGTCTTCCTGGCATGACCTTGCTCCAATTCAAACTGTTCAATGAATATGTTTATTAATGAAAAACTGGGGCTTTGACATTAGGGATAATTGTGGTAAGCTGTAAATTGTAAACGAAGTATTGCACACAGATAACTAGAAGACCACTTATGATTCCTTATAAGGATTTTATGGCCTCACGGGCTTAGAACCATATAATCACAGAATCAAAGAATTATAGAGTTGGAAGGGACCCCGATGCAATGCAGGAATCTCAACTAGATCATACATGACAGATAGCCACCCAAACTCTGTTTAGGGCTATAAAAAGAAGTAACCCTGACACAACACCTAAATTATAATGCATTTTATTATAACTTACAGAATGCATAGTTTTGAAATATAGTGCTGGAAACTAGGTTAGAAGACTTTAAAAGGGCATTCAACTGATCCATCGAAGTCAGACCCATGATTTTAAGTAGCCAAGCTTTTTCTAATTTTATGGTTAATTTTAACTGATTTATTATTTTATTTTATGCTTTATCCCTTTGTTATCCTTCCAGTATTCCTAGTAGACATTGCTTAGAAACTATGGTATTTATATAAATTATTAAAATAAAAAGACAACTAAAATAGAATCTTCATGTTCACAGACAGTGTAGTTTTCAATATCAGATGCTCATGGACAAATAATACCTTCATACACAGACGGAGGAATCAAGCTCTCTTTTAAACAGAATTCTGAACTAGATATATCTAGCAAAGAAATTCTTATGACTTACCATTAGGAGATGCAGATTAACTGTCAAGCCGTTCATTAATGCTACCTCTTCTTTATGAGCCCCTGAAAAGCAATAAGGCAGATGTTTCCTTATTTCTTTTGTCCTGTGCAAGGTCTGTGTCAGTGCTGTGCAAAACCTCATGACATTGGCTTGCAGTCAATGTCTCCCTAATGACTGAGAAGTAAATACATGTTTGATGTGTCACCACGGAGAAATTTAAGTAAAAAAAGTTCCCCTGTTGACATAGTACACCATTCTAACAGGGAAATATTTATTTTTACCATTCTGTTGTGGCAAATAAAGCAGATAATGAAGCAGTAACACTTCCTTCATTGAAATCTACCTGTTGATTTGTTGCTATCATTAACAACTTGGTCAAATTCAGTACTAGTGTGCCTTTGCCCATTAAATATATCTCCAATATAAAGGCCTAAATTGTCTTAGGGGCAATCATCTATTTTTAAAGTGGCCATTGTAACGCCAAGCTAAAATGTGCCCTTAATAAAAATAAAGAGTCTTGCCTAACGATTATTCAGACCTTCATTACAGTAGACATAACGGTGGTCTGTACGACAACTGGTGAAAAGATGGGAACATGGTTAATCTATTGCATTTTGGTCATGGATTCTGAGCTTTATGGCAAGTAATAAAATAAATGAAATTTAATGGGAATCAGAAGCACAACAAATGGATTTTTCCAATACACCAGAAACAATAAGGTGCTCTCTGACTGCTGTTAGTCAATACGGTGAGAGAAAAGGATGAATAAATTCACATTACGAATGGAAGAACACAAAGAAAAAAACCATCCCCAGGGTTTAGATGAAAATAACATGAACCAGAAAAATATGCAAGCATTATAAGAAGCTTTTAACTCTGATGTGGTCTGTTAAGTCATAAAAAGGAAGGCGTTATTGGCTGGATTGTTTTTTGTCATCTTTTTTATCTATCAATGGTTCTTAGTTGCTCATTTTTCTAGCCGTTGCAAGGGAGATAACCAGGAGAACAATCACAAAGGAGAAAAATGGATGGAGATTGACAACAACAGCAAAAGCAGGACAACAGGTTCTCAGGTTCTCCTTCTCTGCATGTTTCCCTTGGATTTCTCTGCTGAGGAGGAGGATTGAGCTCTACAATTTCTAAACGGGGACAGCCATGTTGCTTGCGTGGTGACCATAATATGTAGCTCCAGTTTCTTAAATCGGCCCAATCAAATTTACACAAATGTATGGTATATTGTCCAGAGTTTTACTCTTAAAGAAAAAGAAAAATTCCCAGGTATAAAAAAAACAATAGTAGTCCACACTGCTGCACTACACCTCTCTTCTGGATTTTGCATGTATCAGACATGCAGTATGTGAATATATTGAACTGTATGCAGAACAACAGCACATATGCTCCATAAGTGAGAAACATTTACTGCTAAATGCCATTATTTTTATGGTAGATTTTGGTCATGTGTGCAGACACACAGAGATAACTGCTATCTGCATTCTCTGCTGCCTTTTCTATTCCAAGAGAGATCCTGCAAGTCTATACAATTCTCCCCAGGGGTGGTGCGTCCTGTTTTGCTGCACACACCCCACTTCTGCCCCTCCCACGCCTCTGCTGCCTGCATTGCGTGGCAAGAGCTTGCTGAAATCTCATGAGATCTCATGCGCTCTGTGAGATCTCGCAGGATTTTGGTGAGATCTCACCAATAAAAGGTGCAGCTTGTGATGCAGTTTTTCCGCTGCTGGCAAATAAAGCAGGATGGGTGGCAGACGCAAGGTAGGTGTGAGGCAGGCATTGTGTCTAGGGCTTCTTCCACTCGAGGGGGGAGCTTCAACTTGGCTCATCAGTGGGCTGAGCCGGATTCTGCCTATGAAAGTAATGGTCCTAGATGTACACTTGTCGTTATCTGTTTGTCTCAAGAGACAATGGAATGTGCCTCCAGGGGTGAAGTCAAACCGCTGGAGAATCACAGTGCCTGCTGTGGCCGCAAAGACCATTGATTCATAACTGCTGCCTGCTGCGTTGTTTTTGTTGCATTAGCAACACCAAAATTACCTCTCTGGGGAGCAAGCCAGGGCAATATGTATGGGGGTCCTGGGCTGCGCAGACAACAAGACCCACCTCTCGGCCTTGCTGATGTGGCCCCAAAGGAAAGCAGAGCAATCCTTTTGGCACCATCATGGCTGGAGAAATTGCCAGAAGGAAGCGTACAAGATGCCATCCAACCCTCTTAGGGACTCCACTCTATGGATAGGGTACTTAAATGTAAGCCCCAAATCCTGGTGCTTTTACAACCTGACTGATCCACTTCCAAAATATTTCCAGAGTATAAATATAACTACTGTTAGTTCACTTGCTGTTCAAAGCACAGACCAAACATAAACGGTTAATCTGAAGTTCACCTTTAGATGCATGCCAATATCCTATATTGAATATGACACCACATTTGTCATGTAAGTCTTAGACTCTTGTAAATGATATATTTATTAAAAGCTTTTCCTTATTGGATTTTGGTGCCCACAAAACAAGCCTTATCTGTGCCCTAGGAAAATCGTTATCCTTCATAGCCTGCACTGCATTTCGGAAATGATGCTTCTGTGATCCAATTAATCTATTACAATATTCAAAGACAAGTATCCAGTAGACAAAATGAAGTTTGCTCTCTCCAACTCATTACTCAGCACCACATATCCTGGACAGCATAAACCCCCATATGTCCTTCCTGATAAATCTTTTCTGTAATGGAAAAAAGCATGACTTGTGATGCGCCAACCACTATTTCCACTGTAACTTTGGAAAGTACAGCCGTTGCATTAGTGCAACATGAACCAAGCCCTTGCCTGAAATTTGTGTGTAAAATAAAGGGAGAAATGGCTGGATGAACTGGGAAAAAGAAAGAAGACAAGACTTCACAAAAAGAAAAGACAAGCCAGTTTGGGTATTTCAAATAATCCTTATAATTCAAAGTTACTGCAAAACAGCTCAGTATACATTCTCTCTCAGCACAAGCATAAGAAGGAGCAATGCAGTTAATCTTACTCCATCAGAAGGTGATACTGCCAAGGTTGCAATATATTAATAACATGCTGTGGGAAAAAAGAACAAATTTTTATTTTCCTGTTCTTTTGCTTAATATGGGAATGAATGGAAGAAGGGGTGGAGAGAGTTTGGGTCTCTGGTGACCTTGACTTTGCATTTCACAACATATTTACTATTGGAGTCTTCATTTAACAAGAAAAAGGTATGCTCATTTAATAAGCAAGGTGTTATAGAGACATAAACCTTTAAATGGCCCAAAGGAAAAACCATTTACTGCCTTTATTGTATTCCTGAATAAATCCCACAAGACAACACTCACTTTTTGTTCTACAGATAGAACAAGCTCCAGCGGTTCTTCCTCCTCCATAAAATGCTAAGCATAAAAAAACTAACTTAAAAATTCAGTTTATTTTCTCTTGTCAAGCCTACCACAGGAACACAAATCCCTTCTTTTCCTCCATGTAACTGCATCCATTGTTACTGGAAAGAATGCATATCCATCTTAAATACGATGCTGATGGACAATATTTTAATAGTGGTTTATTTTGTATTTTCTCCTTTTTGCATTTTTTCTTTTTACCTAAAGGCAAATGATGTAGTCATTAACCAGTTGAGATTGTCAACATAACGGGACCATAATTTGGAATTCTTGAAAAGTTAATTTGTTTTTCTTTCTCATTATTGGGGAGGGGGGCAACTCACTAACATGGGCAAAATCAATAAAGTGAAATTTACCCACAATAAAATAATGCTAATACTTGGAAGCTGAATGCCAAGCCACACTTTGAAATTCAGTTGTACAGCCACTGAGGGGTGTGGCGGGATTATCTGTACAAGCGAGGAGGGAGAGATCATGATAGCACTAACATGATAGCAAACTTAATAGTCCCTGGTGTGCAACAGACCTATGAAATACTGCCCAAAGCAAAACAAAACAGGTTAAGGATGTGAAGATCTTTATTCATAGTTTCTTTTATAGAGAGCTTAAAACATGGTTCCCCAGCATAGAGAATACAAATAGGCTTCTGCATACAGATCTACTGTTTTGGGTATGGAAAACTTAGCTGGTGGATAATGGGCAGAAGGGCCTCACTGAGCAGACATAAGCTGTGTGACAGTGAATAGAGTATGTTCCTATTAGTTCTAAAACTCCACTTGTATTTAAAGGCAAAATAACTTCCAAACTTTAAAAAAAGTGTCTGAATGCTAAAGGCATAGTTGAAAGAGCAAAGCTTAAAAAATCTTTTTTAAAAAAACAAACAAAACTCTTCTTCTTTTCCTTGAGAAAATGTTGTTATATTTGACTGCATATGTGGGTCCCAGATCTAAAAATAACAAGATTCTTTTTTTTTCTGACCAAGGTGAACAAGGAAGTGTAAAACAGATTTATTGGCTGTCTAGCAGATTTTACATTAAATTTTCTCATGTTACATTCACAGCCAGTAATTGCTTTGTTTGTTGCTATGTTGTTCTGTGTCTCTAGCTTCCCTTCCTCTTGGTTTGCATTGCTATTTTCTGGACCCCATTTGTTTTTTAAAAGGACACTGTGGACCGTGGCCTTAACTGAAGATTTTGCTAAAGACAGAATGGCAACCCTGCAGCAGAGAATTAATTGTGTGTGGCATGCATTGCCACAGACATTAGGTAAGCTCTGACTCTCTAGCTGAAGCAAGAAGTCCAAACGGAGGCAGAAAAACCAGATTTTGCAGCCAGCCACTGAATTCCATATCCACCCCTCTCTAGTGTATTCACTTTCACATCTTACAGCAGCCCCACAGCAGAAGCACAAGAGAAGGACAGCCAAGGCCACACACAAGATATGAGACCAGAGGCAGCACAGCAGTGCCTCTCTGGAAATACTCACAGATGTGATGAAGAAATTCAATTAGAATAATGAACAAGCAGTCTTGTGATACCTTAAAGGCTCCCAATTTTATTTTGTTTTATGCTTTCAGGGACCACAATCCACTTCATCAAATGCATAAAGTTACATGAAGGAAGGTAAACTTTCCAAGACATGGATGTTTTAATAGAAATTCCTGCATTCGACTAGATGCCATTCAGGGTCCCTTCCAAGTCTTTGATTCTATTAATTCTTATATAGTATTTCATTAATAGAGAGGCACACACAAGCATATGGGGGTGTAACTAATAGAGATATTAGATAAGGCAGGAGAACTTAACATGGGGCCCTCCAGATGTTTTTGGACATCTCCCAACACCCTTCACCACTGGCTATTCTGCTTAAAGCTGATGGGAGCTGGACTCCCAACATTTGAAGGGCACACTGGCTACCCGCAATAGTGTCTATTTCTGTATAATCAATTTTTGCACAGTAAATATACACCTCAGATTTGATCTGTATGCTTGCATGTTTCCTTCAAGGTAGTACTGTTATTGAGAGGATAATTTATGTTCATATCACTCACAGTAAAATAATTATGTCTGAGAATAAGCAATGCCAACCCTTACCCTGGGTATTGCATCCATTGCTTTTGTGACCGCTTTGGGGGAAATGGTTGTTCAAGTGTTACAGTCATCTAGTGACTGCTGCTTGAGGCATAATTGCAGAGGAGTGGCACCACTATTCACACCTCCACTGTTTACTTCATTTCGATCCCAAGTCCTCTCACTTCCCTGAAGATTCTTTAGACAATTTGACAGGTAGTATCAACTCTAATTTTCATCATTTTCTGCACTATTAATTCTTTTTCAAAAAAAATTGACTTCCTTGACAGCAATTAAAGACATTATCATGTAACAAGCAGCTATTGCTTTGTAAACAAAAGAAATGATCACTGATTCATGGTGACATTTGTAGGGGTGCCAAGTTTTCTTTGGTTTCATGCATTAGACTAAATAGTTTATGACGATCCCAGAACCACATACTGCAATTAGTTTCAAGATATACATTTGCTCATATATTACTGTCTGCATTAAATCTTCTCAGTTCAAAGTTTTAAAATGCAGTTACTTCACATACTTACTGAGAAGCACTCAGAGTAGAACACACAAAAAAATGGTAAATTTTTGGAAGAAAAGTTCCATTGTCTCATTTTTTTCTAGTAGGGGAAAAATGAATTATTTTCCAAAAAAAAAATATTTTCTTACCCACAATATCAGCCACAAGCTCCACAATGCACTCATCCCCTAAAGCCCAAGGTCGTTTCCCTGTGAAATGACCATGAACACCCCTGAAAGAGAGAACAAATGAAAATTCATATATGTGTCTTTGGTATAGTGCTAACATCAAGATTGCAACACTCATTGGGGAGCTGGAAGAGAAAATAAATAATTTTATTGCACCACATGCACCTGTAGCAAACAAGCAGTCTACTGTAGTTTTGTATTGTACACAGACAAAACAAAGTCAACAGACACGGGACAGATTCTAATGAGCCATCTTCATGCTTTGTTATAAGAGAAACAAAAAATAGCAACAGCCCTCAGCGAAGAGCTAGGGAATAGAACTGTGAATGGTGGAAAGTCACAGTAAACCAAGTTCAGAGTAAACTAAGCCAGGAAGCTTAGGTTATCATTATGTGTGAATGCAGCCAAAGCGAACCTGCAGCCAGGGGCCTACAATGCAAAAAACTCATGTCTCTTCTATGTCAGGTAACTTGCTTGTCCAGGAAGCAAGATGAAATGGTGATAGCGTACAAGAGTGCAATGGGTCTGGCAAGAATGGGTGACGGGCTAATTTCTCAGTTCAGAGGCAAAACCTAGCTAAATAATGTACTAGAAAATTAATGGTGTGTCCTCTCTTTATATTACACATCTTTGTCCTCAGTTACTTAGTAGGATTTAGAAAAGTGCCCGCAAATGAATCCTCTCATTTGCTCTGTCATTTTGCAAGATTCACTGTTAAACTTCCTCGTTCTCTGCCAATTCCCCAACAGAAAGGATCTCACATTTTAAATATTTTATGTAACATTCCTATGAGCTATTACAGATTTTTCAATGTGATTATTATTACAATGGGGAAAGATCTGTGTACAATAAATCCAAACCCAAGTAACTAAATTAAACATACAGTGGTGCCTCGCAAGACGAAATTAATTCGTTCCGCAAGTTCTTTCTTCTTGCGAGTTTTTCGTCTTGCGAAGCACGGTTTCCCATAGGAATGCATTGAAAATCAATTAATGCGTTCCTAGGGAAACCGCTTGCCAGGCTGGCGGTGCGGAGAAGGGCTTTTCTCCGCACCGCAAGCCTTCAGGACAGGTACGGGAACAGAGGGGAAGGCGCGCAGCGCTTCTCCTCTGTTCCCGGGGCTTGCGTGGGAGGAGGGTTTTTCCTCCCCACCGCCAACATTCAGAACAGCATTCTGAATGTTGGCGGTGGGAAGGAAAACCCTCCTCCCACCCCAAGTCTTCAGGACAGCCATCCGATGCCGGGCTGCGGGAGGAGGCGTTCCCCCCCCGCCCGGCATTGGAGCTTCGTTCCGATGTCCGTTGGAGGGAGGAGACGTTCCCCCCCACCCGCCGGACATCGGAGCTTCGTTCCGATGTCCGTTGGAGGGAGGAGACGTTCCCCCCCGCCGGACATCGGAGCTTCGTTCCGATGTTCGTTGGAGGGAGGAGACGTCCCCCCCCGCCGGACATCGGAGCTTCGTTCCGATGTCCGTTGGAGGGAGGAGACGTTCCCCCCCCCCGCCGGACATCGGAGCTTCGTTCCGATGTCCGTTGGAGGGAGGAGACGTTCCCCCCCCCCGCCGGACATCGGAGCTTCGTTCCGATGTCCGTTGGAGGGAGGAGACGCCCCCCCCCCCGCCGGACATCGGAGCTTCGTTCCGATGTCCGTTGGAGGGAGGAGACGTTCCCCCCCCCCCGCCGGACATCGGAGCTTCGTTCCGATGTCCGTTGGAGGGAGGAGACGTTCCCCCCCCCGCCGGACATCGGAGCTTCGTTCCGATGTCCGTTGGAGGGAGGAGACGTTCCCCCCCCCCCCGCCGGACATCGGAGCTTCGTTCCGATGTCCGTTGGAGGGAGGAGACGTTCCTCCCCCCCCCGCCGGACATCGGAGCTTCGTTCCGATGTCCGTTGGAGGGAGGAGACGTTCCCCCCCCGCCGGACATCGGAGCTTCGTTCCGATGTCCGTTGGAGGGAGGAGACGTTCCCCCCCCGCCGGACATCGGAGCTTCGTTCCGATGTCCGTTGGAGGGAGGAGACGTTCCCCCCCCCGCCGGACATCGGAGCTTCGTTCCGATGTCCGTTGGAGGGAGGAGACGTTCCCCCCCCCGCCGGACATCGGAGCTTCGTTCCGATGTCCGGCGGCGGGAGGAGGTCCGAGGACAGTGGGGAAGACGCGCTGCGCTTCCCCGCTGTCCCGGAGATTTCCCTATGGGCTGTCGTCTTGCGAAGCAAGCCCATAGGGAAATTCGTTTTGCGAAGCGCCTCCAAAACGGAAAACCCTTTCGTCTAGCGGGTTTTCCGTCTTGCGAGGCGTTCATCTTGCGGGGTACCACTGTAAAGAAAAGACAGTAAGAAACAGGTTCACTTGAGTCACTTGAATGAAAAGTTTCAATTATCACATAGGCAGAAGTATTTCTTTAGTGACTCATAGATTAATATTTAATCTAGACTAAACAGATTTCAGTGTCACATTTTCCTACCTTCTTTTTTTACACAAGATGGTAGGTCATAGTTTTTCTATGTACTTAATTCTGAAGTACTGGGCATACTATAGATTGAAAGTTCTGAAAACAGCTGTGAAATTTTACAATATACAGCACCCTAAAACACACCTATATCAAATTAGTTTTACCGTATATCAGACTCAGCCCTCACTTATTCCCGACTCCCAACCTGAAAGGCATATGGTCAATATGATATGTTAACTAATTTCATGAAGCAAAAGGATAGGCCTGGTTTTCACATTACATGAAACCATAATTAATATAAACAAGCAATTTGCTGATATATAGTGCACCAAAATTCCAACCTTGTCCCCACTCCTGGCTGTGCCACAAGCAACATGCTACATGTCTTGGTGTGTCATCTGTACTTGGGTTTGTGGTTTGTTTCTCTTCAAAGCATAAATAGTAGCCAAGGTCTGATCTTGGAAACGGAAGACCAGTTTAAACATAATTTGGGGGTAGTGTTGGTGATGAAAAGCTATGTGTTTTATAAGATACCGGGTAAAACAATGATGTTGTACCCCTTTCAAACACTGTCACATCAGGCTTTTCATTAACAAATTGAAATCACTCTAAGATAGATGTTATAGTAAAACATTATAGTCACTGCATTTCTTAAAAGTAACAGAAATTTGCATAACATTCATTTGCCTCTATTGCTTTCTTGCAGTCTTCTCTGCCTCAACACGGCAAAAATCCTAATTTGCCAGTTTCAGTAGCTCTATAAGCTAGTAAGTAGCCATGAAATATCAACCTTCAGCCACAACAGATTGGCACTGCCTTCAGATAGGACCAAAAGGTTTCCAATTCATTTTTCAGAAGTCTTTAGCCTTCTGAAAGGCTTGCATTTGTACTGGATTTTGGGCACTGACTTTTCTAAATATAAGATGCTCTTCCCTTACTGTTCTATTTTGGTCTGGCCTTATTCTGACATTTTCTTTTCTTTCGTTTCTCTGAAATAACAGACTGCTATATACTTCTAATATTTTCTCAATACGTTGCTTTGGCCCGAGTTTATATTTTTGAAACTGTCTTATCCACACAATCTAAACTAATGTTTATCTACAATTGGTCCCATCCACACTATATATTTAAAACACATTTAAAGCAATGGCTTTCCCCACAAATCCTGGGAAATGTGAAGGTTGTTGGGGATTGTAGCTCTGTGATGGAACAACTCTATTCTTTGGGGAAAGTCATGTGCTTTAAATGTATGGTGTGGGTGTGACTGGAGTGTGCATGTATGAGCACACAATCATACTTAATATCAGTCTTTCTATTTCAGAGGTGAATGTTGATACTTTTGTACACAAAACAGCACCATGAACAAATTAACAGGGATGTATTAGCAAGCTTCAAGCAACTCCAAAGTTTGCAGACATACCAAAAAACTGCTAAGGGAGAAGGACACCGCCGCCCCCCCCCCAGCCAAAAACCAGCCAAATGAGGAATGAGCATGCTCAGAAAGCTGACTGATTGACATGGGGCTGTAAAACCAGGTGGTAGGAATAATAGATTGGAGCACCATGGAAAAGGACATGGCTGGCTGGCTAGCTGACTGGAACACTGAAAAGGAGCACTGCTTGTCCACACTGTTGTAACTGTAGTTTTCTAGACCAAACACAATAATAATCTCTTTTATTTATATCTATTGGCATTCATTCTGTATATAAAATTAAGAGTGAAGATAGACCCAAGCAAGGGAGGCTGCAATCTTGTGCACAGTTTATCTGGCAGTAAGCCCCACTGAATAGTAAACATGTTGTAGGTGTGATGGGTTTGTTTCGTTACAGGAGTGTCAAAGATAAGGCAGAAACTGTATTCCTTGTTTCATGAAAGGTAATGGACCACAGATACATATAAGATATACAGAATCATATTTACTTCTTTTCACAAACTGAGAAAGAAGGGGGGAATTGATTCTGCTCCCTGAAAATAAATGCCTTGGACTGCAGTGAATTCTGCTCAAACTATTATCACCACACTTAAGTACATCGGTCTTGAGTATAAAATTCTTTCATTGTACCCAAGGCAAACAGATGCATGGAAAATGAACAAATGCAAAGTTAATGTGTGAGAAATGAAATATTACCTCTCTTGGTCCCTTTAAATGGAGAAGAGAGCTATTTAACTTTAACTTATTGAATGAAGTCAGTCATTTCCCTGAGCTACTACAATAATCACAGAAAAATTGACAGGATTGCATTTTCTTAAAATGGCTGGCAAAACTGCAGAGCTGTGCTAAATGAACAGAGAGAAGTGCTAACTGAAGTTCATATGCTCCTATTCCCTCCTTCCTTCCCTCACAGCTATCTAAAAAAGTAGCTGCCTTTTTATTATTAATTGCAACTCTCCTGTTTTAACAAGAGAATAGGTAAGGACAACTCTTTTCTCTGAAGTCCAATTGTGTTCAATTGTGCTTATTCCCCAGTAGGAAGATGCAGGATTGAACTGCCAGTAGGTCAGAACAGACCCACTGAAATCAATGGGCATTATCACACAGCAAAGTCAGATTGTGTGAAATCAGTCTTAAATCTAATATGATGGAGCAAAAGATGAGCTTGAACCAATAGAATAACTTTAAGGACATGAGGGAAAGTATTTCAAGAGTAGATAAAATACACCATTTTCTTGAATGATATAAAGATTTCCTGGATATAAGCTCTCTTCACAACTTAGGCGGGAGCACTGATTTCTTCAGGCTGCTATGAACCTCAGCCCAGCATAACCCTAACTCTCTGGGCTTGATTCTCCCTTCCTGAACTTTAATTATGGCCACCAATCCATGCTTACTCACACTCTGCCATCCTTCCATCTTCCACCACCTTCCTAGGGCCATTTCTCCTGGGAGGAGTGTGAATCTGGGCAACTGAAATAAACCACTTGAAGAATTTACCATGGACACAAAAATGCTGGTGGGACTAGTAAATGGGGTTCAGTGGCTGATTTTAGTAATAATGAGGGGTCAAGGAAAAAAAGAAAGAAATAGTTGCAAGCACAGCAATATTGCATGCCTGGAGTTCCACAATTTCAGATTTTGAAACTGAACCAAATTCTGAGTTTATGACAGACCTTATTACAATACTGTTTTATTTTTTGAAATGCAAATTTCAGATTTCAGAATGTGAATTTTACAAGCATCTCAAAAGTTTGAGGCTATAAAGCAATATTCTTTATTCTAGTGTCTCAGATTTAGGATTGACCAAGCAAAGGGTCAATCTGAATACTGCTGAAATAGGCACCAGGTTACCTATCAAAGGACATCTAAAGATTTGTGGGAACTACAATTCTCCCACCAGAGCTAGAGTTCCCAGCACACTCAACAAACTACAGTTCCCATGATTATTTGGGACATACACATTATCTATAGATAGATAGATATAGATATAGATATAGATATAGATATAGATATAGATATATAGATATAGATATGGTGTATGTAGCCTGAAATGCACAGATCAGGACAGAAATGATGAGACAAGGATTGCATGAGGTAATCACATAGACTAGTAGCAACAACTACACATACAGACAATAGGTAAGACTTGAACTAGGACCATTAAAAAACAATTAGGCAAATAGCTGTAAGCTGAGGAGGATCCTTCCAATATGAGCTGGTTAAAGGTTACTGCAGCCATTTCTTGTTTTCCTATTGTTGGGAAAGCACTGACTATTCATTGTATTTCCATGAGAAAGGGATTTTAACAGAATATCACCATATTCAGGCCCATTTTCAAAATGAAAAAATTTTTCTTTACCCTCAAAAAAGCAGTTAGTGATTTATGTCACTAGGAACTACTCACAGTTTAGCCCACTTGTCAAGTTCTTCATCCAAGTAAGTCTTAACTTTCTTTGGCTGAAGACCAAGAGAGTTCCCAGCAAAGTAGACGCAGGTCTCATTCTTATGCACTAAGGCTAGATTGGCTGAAGGAGGAAAATCCAAGAAAGCCATTAAAAATGCTGCCACCATTCCCTTTCTTATCTACACAAAAGATTCCCCATGAAAAACATCATATCTATTCACTAATGATGAACCCAATATACAACTATATTCCTGAGATAGCCCTCCAATTAACGAACAGGTAAAATTCATTTCATTAAAAAGACACTTATTCATTATGTCATAGATTCTATGAAAACTATGCCAAAAATACTGACACAAAATTCACCATAGTACAGACAAGTGTAGAAAAATATACCAGCTGTGTTAAAAGTATAGTAAAAGCAAGCTATTCCCTTTCTCTCAGTAACAAAAGGCAAAACATCTGAGAAAGGAACTTCTTGGTTTTTCCATTACTATTATTTTCTAAAGAGAAACCAGAGTATATTAATTAATACTGATATACAAGTACTTGTACTTCATATTGATACAATAATAATGATGATGATGATGATGCTAGACTTCTATTCAGCAGTTTGTTGGGTGCTAGACATCACACAAAAGCTATACTGTACATTCCCCAAGTTCCAATACAAAATATAAATGTACAGTCATACCTTGGGTTAAAGACGCTTCAGGTTGAGCATTTTAAGGTTGTGTCCTGCGGCGACCCGGAAGTAACGGAACGGGTTACTTCCAGGTTTCGCCACTCGCACATGCGCAGACACTCAAAATGACGTCACACGCATGCGCAGAAGCAGCAAATCGTGACCCGCGCATACGTGGGTTGCGTTCTGCTCAGGGTGCGAACGGGGCTCCAGAACGGATCCCGTTTGCATCCAGAGGTACCACTGCGCATGGAACAAATTCCATGGACCTGATATTGTCTTTCAGTGGATCCAAGTCAACATGATACTCCAAGCTTAGTCAACAGTGCCTGCTCATATAAATGGCAAAAATAAGAGATCTAACATGGGTTGTAGACTCAGTGGTAAAATATTAGCACAAGATTCTTCCATACCATATATCACATCTTCTTTTTTAAAGACAATTCCTAATGTTTACTACGAAAAGGGCAAACTGGGGACATTAGAAGCTCAAATGCCATTGCACATGCAGTTAGATAAGATTAACTTAACTCAGAACATCAGTGAAAGGAATACTATACACTAGCATATGATTTCACATTTCTATCTTTTGTTTAGAGGGATGTATTTGCAACAGTGAACTTTAATTCCAAATTTTAAGCAAAAAATAAATAAATGTTTTGAAGTGGTCCCTCTATATCATTTATTCTAGTAGTGGGGGGAGTCTTGTGCTGCTCAGAAATTTGTAGAAACCAAAAAATGCTATGATTTTTAAATGGATAGTGCAATTTGAGAGTTTGGAGTCGTCATGCCAAAGTCAAGTCCATCATCATGATTTGAAATGGTGCCAGGCGTCCAAACATCAATGAAGATAACACATCCCTGTTTAACACCTGATCCCACTGTGAATGGTTTACTTTGAGAGCCATTGTATCCAGTCAGGGAAAAAGGGAGGCAGACTATGTTTAGGGCACCTTTTCTAGCCCGTTCCCGTTTTGGGGGTGAGCAGAGTAGATCCTAAATAGGACTGCTCAGTTGTGGATACAGCTGCTGAGCTACTCAACTGCCTCATTCCTCGAGTCAGAACAAATGAATCTGTATCCACCACTCATGTGCAGGTCCCTGACTAGGGGTTCCAGATTTCACGGTTCTGCCCCCGTTACCATTTGCCGATCACCATGAGACTTTTTGGGTTTGGGATGGGTTTTTGGAAGATGCCTATGCGTGAATTTGCTTGATGTGAGTAGATCAGTGCTCGCTGACCAATGCAGATTCTTCGCGGTATGGCTCTATTCCGATGGCATGAATATCACGACGACCAGTAGATTCTTATCTGCCTTCACAGCTGTTGTAACTTACCGCTTGTTATCTTCTGCCTGTTCTGCTACTGAGGACTTCTTGGATCATTCTTTGTCTAGCTCCTGCCCCTTGACCTTACTGTCTTGGGTGACTCTACTGGGAGTATGAGACTCCCAACAGCTTCGCTCACAAGGATCATAGGAACATGCAAGCCCACTTACCATGACAAGGTGATGATCCAGCGAGAAGCAAACATGTATATGGCTGTAGCACTAGTCCTCTAAAAATTTAATTAAAAAATATAGGGCAATATCCAAGTAAGTTGTATTCAGAGTAGATATATTCATTTTAATGTATTTAAGTTACTTAAGTCCACTGAGTTCAATGAGTCTACTCTGAGCATGCCTAGTGTTGAATAACACTCATCTTTTTTGATGGATAATGCAAAATATTCCCTAAGCTGGAAATACGTATATTAAAAATTTAAGTATTTCTTTAGACTTTCATAAGTTGCCAAGATGAAATGTGGGCAAGCACAGTTCACTTGTGAAGGAGGAAAATATCTGTTGAAAATGTTTTCTGCTCAGTAGGGGAAACGCAAGCTATTATGCCTATAAATGATAAAAGGGGTGATTAGCCCTTTTCATCACCTTTCATTCTATATGCTACTGTTTCCTGCCAAGGGTCATAAGGAACAGTGCTCATTTTTGCATGTCTCAGTCATCAATAGCTTATGCAAGAATGTATACAAGTCAGCAGCTTGAGCAAATGCATTAAAATTTACATAAACACTTCTAACATTATATAAAGAAGAATAAGTTTACATTTGTCTGAGGCAATTTCATTTTAGGGCTATAGGGAAACATTAAACCACAAAGCTACTCAAACTACATTTTAAAGATACTACTTTGAACTCAACCACTAATACATTTTCCAGGCATAAGAGACAACGAAGATAACTTCTTAATTAAAGCTTTAAAGGCTTTTAAAAAGCCTAAATCACAAAACCAGTTTCAATCTAATCTATATTACAGACGCTCTCCTTGTTTTCATCAGCATCCTTTTTAAAATGAGCAATAACAGAGGTGTAAATATTATTCACACTTCCAAATTGGTTCTGTTCACAGGCCTTCGTTATTCTGAAGAACAATAATGGAGTCTCATTGAGATTAGAGGAAGCAAGCATTTTATTTGTGGCTGGGGCAACCCAGTCAGATTGGTGGGGTACAAATAATAATAAAACTATTATTATTATTATTATTATTATTATTATTATTGTCTTTGAGCAATTTTCAGAAGGATTCATTGAAATCCAGTCAAGCATTAGAACAGGCAATGTTAAGGTATGTTTTCATACCTTATATATAAGGTATATATAAGGTATGAAGCAGTTTTAAGGTATGAAGGTTTTAATGTATGAAGGTATATAAGGTATGAAGGCAGTTTTAAAGGATTTAAAATATACAAAACCATTGTTCCTGATCATTGGCGCACAATACTAGATTGCTACTTACTGCTATTTTCTTAACTGGGTGTGGTATCCAACCAAATCACTGTAGCACGGATCCATTTCCATGTGCGTAACAGAACTTTCCCTCCCTCTCCTCCTCCCGGGCAGATGTGCACACGCACAACACACATGCACATGTGCTCTGGGTTGTCCATAAGAAGCATGTTGGGGTGACCTTTTACTTGCAGATATCATTCTACGTGCACAATGATTTAGATGGACTCAACCCTTTTAAGTCCAGATTTACACCATTTTGCTTGCCCATTCCACTTTGAATCAACTTACATTTTTTCTATCTAAACGCCACCACAGTCCATCATTCAAAGCACCTCACTTTCACTAAATAGATCCTTGCTTTGCAGTACTACTTCTCCTGTTGTCTGGACTTCAGTGTGCTCATTTTATTAGCTCCTCTAATATTTCTTCTGAAGACATGACCTCTAAGTGGTGAATAGGGTTTAATAATTCCAGAGGACAAACAGCACTGATTGCTTGGTCCACTTTGTGAGTGAGATCATACCTTGAATATGTATATGTTTGTGTGAGTGTAACAAAGAAGCTGGGGAAGCTATAAAGATTAGCAGATGAAAAATAAGATTAGTTAGAGTAGATGTGGGGAACCTTTGGCGCTCCAGATATTGCTAAATTACAACTCACACCTACATCAGCAAGCATGGGCAATGACTAGGGATGGTGAGAGCTGTAGTCCAGCAACATCTGGAAGGCCAAAGTTTCTGAGTTAAAAGTTTCTTACAGTCCTTTTTTATTACAATCTTTACAGAGAGAGGCTATAGAACCCAGCCTCTTGGATAATGGCATTGACCCAAGTAAATTTCCATCCCCCGTCTCTCCCACTTCCTCATTCGTCACCATCATCACCTCCTCTACGGTTGCTGCTAAGTGCCCTGTCTTCAAGCTCATTGCTCTCCTACTTTTAAGACTCATCGGGTTCTGGGAGATGGTGGGTCTGGAACACTTTCTAATGACAACGTGTCAGCCAGGTGCTGCTCTGGCTCTCCTATGATTTCCCAACTTCCCCCATCTGCCTCTGAGCTGTGACCTACCTCAAACCCCTGTTGTTAATCTATACTGTCTTCCTCTTCCTCCTCCCTGGATGGGGAGGCGGTATCCATCATTCCTCCTCTGCCCAGTCCCTGACACTTACCAATCAAGACTGTCTAGCTAGAAATATGGAGACTGGTTTCATTCTGAATCTGTTCCTTTTAATACAATTCCAATATGACATTTGGTACAATAACTTATTGTTGACTCATGTTTACATTAGACTTCAGTGACTCAAAGCAATATTAGGAAAAACTATTTTAAAGAAAAACCCTCCCTACCAGCATCTCCCTGCCAATTAAATAAAGGTTGCTTATTACCTGCTTAGAAGAAGTTGATATGATACTACTGGAGTTTGAACCCTGAGATTCAAGGACAAGATGTATGTTTGTGTGAGAGGGTAGTATCTCTTACACAACTCACTTCTGCGCAAATTGAGACAAACTGCAAGATATCTAAATGTAGAAATCTGTTTCAACATACAGAAGCATATCTACATCCGGGTGTCTTGATTAATTTTTTTATCTACACAAATGATGTGAAGGCAGACAAAATATGTGGCAATCAAGTGCTTTAACAAGTACTGGACGGAACATTTTGAAAATAGGTCTGTTGTATTTTCCCTTGCACACTTCTTGATTACAATGGCTAAATCTCTGCCACCTTAAACTGCAGAAAGAAGTGGAATGCAAAAAAAACAACCCTTTGGCAGCTTCTCACTTGATTTATGTCATGACTACGTAAAACAAGCTGTTACTAAAACTTAGTTTTGACAAGATTAATATATAGTTTATAAGCTTCTCCCCTCCCCCTTTTAAATGGCATACCTGTATTATAAGATTTGCTCTACCCTGCTTTCAAGACAATGCTGTACAATGTTTTATGTAAATATATAAAGAACTTGGATTATCTCTTTTAGCTTCATGAGTGAGACATCCAAGATCCATTTGGTGCACAGATAAATGTCAAGCAAGATCACTCATGCTTGTACACACCATGTAAATTATGTTTACCCCAACTATTATTTAGATCTGTAACTGGCATTAGTGACAGCTAAAGGGAGCAATCTTAACTTCCAGCTGGAAAGCAGCAGGGCCAAAAGGAGTGATGTAGCCACTGCCACAGCCCAAGCCCATCTGCTAGGGCAGAAGGTTTATGTGGTGGCTTTAAAAGTGCAAAACTAAAGATCTGGTAGGTGACTGAATCTTTCCTGCAAAATAATGACACTGTGAAGGAACCCTCAGAGCAGTTTGATTTTACTGTCTATTTGAATAGACTGTTGCTTTTTTTGGTTGGTTTGTTTCTTTAAAAAGATGATTGTTATTGTTAACTGTAATATTTTGTCTCTTAACTATCTTGTTAGCCACCCAAGGAGCATAAATTTATGCAGAAGTTTCAGGATACAAATCATGTAAACAAATAAGTAGAAAGCTACAAAGTTTTGAGCTCTAGTTGCTGTAAACCAAAGGAGGGAAGCGTGCTCTTGTGCTCGAATCCTGCTTGCAGGTTTTGCACAGCTTTGGCCACTGTGAGAACAGGATCCTGGACTAGATAGGTCACTGGCCTGATCCAGCAGACTCTTCTTATGTCCTTATTATCTTACCTGAAATCATCACCTTTCTGTTTACTACACCCTGGCCTTTTTGATGTATTGATTAGTTTCACGGCTTATACAACAATCTCAAGATCTTCCATTATGATATATTCTGTTCATCTTTTTTAGCCTGATAAATGACTGGAAGCCTTAGACTGGCGTTTTGCTAAGTGCCACTGGTAAGCTAACACAAAGCCATTAAAGATGTCCAATCAATCAAGCTGCCTAATTATCTAATTTATGGTAGAATAACTAAAAAAAACACCCCCAGAAAGCATTAGTTTCTGTAAATGATGGTTCTATTTTAACCACATTAAAGATATTAGGATGGTGTATGGTTTTTTCAAAAAACACATGCTTCAGAATAAAGGTCAGATCTTGATATCTTTAAACACAGCAGACAAGACCTTCATAGGCAGTAACACCAAGCTGCATAGATCTGTTGTACAAGTCAATGTTCTAGTTTAGTAGATTGTTGTTTAAAAAGAGAATCACCAGTATCCTGAACACTCACACCTTGATCCCACATTTTTAAAAAACATGGGAAATCAGGTGAACAAATATAGAGAGAATATTTTACATGCTTACACAGAGAGAGAAGTTTCCAGGATTCACAATCCACACTCAGAACCACAACATGAATTCAGAGTTGCTCCACAGTGCTTATTTTGGACTTCAGACTAAGAAAATTACCACAAAATTGATTAGCTGTCACAAACACAAGGATGAAAAGTGGGGATTTCTAGCCAGTCTGCTTGCTTAATTATGAAATAAACACTGCAGAATGCTCATAAAGAAGGGTTGCAAATGTATATTTGAGTGTTTGGGACAGACCTCCCTCCCCGCCCCTGAATATCAACCTTCAATTAGGAGACTAGATAAATGTCATGTGACTTTGTATATTATGTATGTTTTTTACATTTTCAGTAGCTATCTATTCCCAAACTAGACTGCCTGCCAAAATCATTAATAAGAATTATTTAAAAGGTATTTCAAAGGCAGAATGGAAAATAAGATCTTTCAATTGCTATTTATATATCAGTTAGTGAATAATTCTGAAAAAATGACTGAGAAAATACTGATTTGAAAATAGTTCATAAATGGGGAATCTGAAGAATTCTTTAAAAAGAGAAAGGGAGCATTCATTATAGATTCCTTGGCCAGATTTACTTTTGGCTCAAGAACCTTTAGCTTAAGAACCTTTAAAACTTTATCACCATAAACTTCATTACTTTTTAACAGATATTCTAGTGAAGTTTTCCTTTTCCAGGCACAGCAGAATAACTTTAGGGACTTGTTAAAACTGAACTCAAAGCAAAGATAAGCTTTACAAGCCCCTGAATTCTTCTCTGGCTCAAATTAAAATCTGACACACAAAAATTGTTGGCTTCCCTGGCTGACATGTGCTTTGTAGGGCCAGGAGAGCTCTCCGAGGCCAGCAAAGCTTGCAGGGGGTTGCCCATCCCAGGCTCAGAAATTCCCCATGGCTGTCTCTAAGCCAGGGCTGGGCTGGTTTAGGAGCCAGAGATCACATGAACTGACAGAGTTATCATTCAGTACAATCCCCTGCTGCCAAAGCAGGTAGTTCAGCCTATGGATTCTGGGTAGAAATAAAAGATGAGGGGGAACCCAATTTCCTGCTGCAGTCCCAGATGTGGTGAATTCCCCTACACATCCTTGGACTTTGACCTGAAATCTCATAAATCTACTCCTATTGAATGTAATGGAACAGAGTTAAGGAGACATGGTTCATATTTCGGGTAATGGATTGCCTAAAAAATTATTCAATATATTCCTCTCCCCTTTTCCTTCCTTCCTTCCTTCCTTCCTTCCTTCCTTCCTTCCTTCCTTCCTTCCTTGCATGTTTTTTTTTAAAAAAGATCTCATTGTATTATGTTGAATTGGCTTCCCATTGCTACTTTTTCACATCAGAAGCACATCTCCTAAAACAAGAAGAGTTGCAACCTGAATAAATAAATCTTAGCCAATGAATTATATGAGTTTTAATATATTACTTGAAAACATATCACACACACACATATTACGACAGGGGCATAACCTGGTTTTCAACACTGCGATATATCACCAACTAAACATCACAATATACCAATATATCACAATGTCTGAAATAAGAATGGCGCTACTATATAGAGAGGCATTGGCTGGCTTCAGAGTTTTTCCCCACATTGTGATTTTTGCATAGCATGCACACATACACACCCCATGATTTGTGATATATAGCCAGGTCAAAAAATATGAAACCAATATCACAATATGGACTTCAAACCGGATTTGGGCAATATATTGAAATATATACACATATGAATAAAAAATACCATATTTTCCCATGTATAAGACTAGGCTTTCCCCCTTAAAAATAATGTCAAAAATTAGGGGGCATCTTCTACACCGAGTCATCTCCCCCCATTTTCTTAAATCTGAGTCCCCCAAAATAGGGGGCATCTTATACGTGGAGGCGTCTTATAGATGAAAAATACGGTAGTTCCAAATTTGAATTTAGGCAATATATGCAACAGTAGCAGCATTAGCCATCTCAGAAGCAGCATTCTCACCTGTGTATAACAAAAGCAGCGTGTCATGAGATGGTGATTGCTGTGACATTAAAAGCTGCTGTCCAATTAATCAGGGACACTGGATTAACTGATCAGAATATTTTGTCAATTAATTTAACTTATTTATCAACTCAAACAACATTGTTACCGTCATACCTGGTATAAGTATTCAGAAAGACTCTTATAGTGCCACAATAACCACACACGCAACCCTCCTGCCAAGTGTGTTGTTCCTGCTCCTTCCAAATGAGGTTTGTGCAGGAGGCCTCCCCAGTGGATTCCAATCAACCATAAAAAAACTGTTAGTGCAAAACTTTCCTGGATGCCCAAAGTAGTAGCTTCTTTTGGCAATAAGCACCTGGAGGCAAAGTAGCTCAAATCCATTAAAAAACACTCCTGCCTATAATTTTCAATCAGTCACTATATTGTTGAAAGAGACTGAGTGACAGCCTAAGCACGGCTTAAGTGCTGTATTGTAATCTTCCATTCTAATCAGAATGGGAATGAGAGCATATAAGGCACTCAACTTGAGGTGCTGATTTTACAACGCAGGGGACATGCTGTGATCAAAGATGTGGCGCCAATCGCTCCATTTATCCTTTAGGCAGCAAGGCTTCCTGCAGATCTGCAATAAACATATGCAAGGAGATACAAAGCCACCTTGGTATAACCGTGGTTCTACTTGGAGGCAGATCCTTCACTCTGGGAATATGAAAACATGCACGCAGGTGTTTTAGTTCATCTTCTTCATCTAACTGAACAGCAACTTCCTTATCCACTGGACTGCATGCTAGCTGTGACGCAACAGTTTCTATAATGGCTGCCGGCGAGGCATAAGAAGACAGATCCATTTCTCACTCTAAAAATGAAAAGGGAGAAAATATTTTCGTTTAGATTCTGTGCCGTGCATATTGGCTAGTGTCTGATGCAAAGATTATAGCTATGTCTGCTGAGGTACAGCCTTCCAGCTTTAAAAAGTGAAATACTTGGGAGTGTAAGGAAAGAGTGGGAAGTTCTCAATTCCAGCATTTTTTCAAGGCAGCATATTGCTGTAGCCCTAAAGCCATTAGTTTTAAATACAATGCTTTCTCTATAGAGCTACATCAGCAACTTCTGTTTTCTACCACTGCTCCAATAGCAGTAACAAATTCTATAGTGTCATTCAAACTTGCAGAATCAGAAAGCCGCAGGCAGCATTATTGTTTCTACAATCTGTGCTCCTGAAAATGGCAGGTGCATTGCCACATTTAAACTTGCATTTTCAAGCCTGAGCAATCTTTTGGCTCCTTTAGCTTCTTGATGTGGATGTGTAAAGTTTTTAGCTTGGGAGGCACGACTGGAATAGGCAGACTAGGCACTAAAGAAATAGTGCAAGAGGAAATTTCAGAATAGGCCTCTGCCGGAGAAAAGCTGTTTTCTCACAAACCACAAGGATATAAAATCTAAACAGTTGTCCCCTAAAATTCCTTTTCACTGACACCAAGATTTCCTATAGAGCCAGATTCAGTTTCTGGCCTCCATCTGCGTTTATCAGATTGTCTGCATCACTGGAAAACACATCTTGATGAAACTAGTGTGATTCTTTCTGTGTGGCAGAAAGAAGCTCAATGCAAGGTACAGATGAGATCCCTACTGAAAGTGAAAAACACAACCACATATTCAAAATTGTTTCTGTAGTATTTTTTATTTAGTTTTATTTAGTTTCAGCATCTCCCCAGGCCTCATTATTGTACACTCTTGCCTTCCTATTTTCTATTTCCAGTCTAATCCTGATTCCACTTGTCTTAACTCAGACAACATTCTAGTTGACTAAAATTGTGTTGAGCACAAATCTGGCAACCTGAGCATTCAAAGTGGTCACCACTCATAGTGTCTTCACTACCTTCATGTTTCAGTTTTAAAAAAATAAGATCAAACAAAAAGCTACAAGACAGAAATATTTTCTTTTACATATTTCTGCATGCTCAAATTTGAGGCCCTAATGAAAAGCCATTTTTATGTGGAAAGTGGCCAGATAGTGGCTTTCAAAAGGTTTATTCAAACTTAGCCACTTCCATTGATTAATGCAAATAATGAATTAGTCATTTATTTGGTGGTAGGTGATGAATCAGTCTACATCCACTATGAAACAAGCTTTTTCTGCAGCACAGAATCCATTTGTTACTAATTAAAGTAAGTACTGATTACTACTTAATTACTTATCCTAATTAATAGAAGAGCACCACTTGGTCACCTTCAAAACATAATTTGCTATTCACCTAAGTTCCACAATTGAGCAAGAGAGTTATTCTTCCTCCATCATTGCCAGTGTTGCCCACAGAATGCTTCAAAATACATCCTCATTTGTACTATCAGACACAATAGAACTCAGCATCTGGGAAACTGATCAATGGGCCTGTTTTGCACATAACACTAAGCCAAACAGTAGCTTACCACAAGCAAGCAAGTGTGCTGGTACAGAAAGAGAAAGTCACAGTCACTTTGCTTCTCCCCTGCTCCTGCTGCACTACCAGAAGCTAGGCCATGGTAAGGCTCAGTGCTATGTGCAAACATGGGCTAGTGGTTTGTCTCGCTTCAAACAAACCATGCTGTAGCTAAGATTTGCTCTTGGTTAACTACTTGTGGTTTGTTGGAGGGAAACAAACCGTGAGTCTGGGTTAGGATAATGCTAAGCCAAATCATGACTTAGCTCTGAGTAGTATGGAAACAGCATAAGTGGGGAAAGAACGAAGCAGCTGAAATTTTCTCCTTGTGCTTGTTTTTGGTAGGACATAGTCTGGCATAGTGCTATGTGTGAACAAGGCCATTGTGCGCCATGGGCCAAAACACTGATCCAGCTATTCAGAACCATATGACAATGGGATGGAGCTGGCACATACACGATTTAAATGCATTTCCCTCATACCCAACAATTGTACAAAAATCATACAAATATTCAATATGAGGCAGTTTCATTCACATCATGAGAGCTAGTATGGTACAGTGGTAGAACAGGGGTCTGCAACCTTTAAGACAAAAAGAGCCACTTGGACCCGTTTCCGAAGGAAAAAAAACTGGGAGCCGCAATACTCGTCATTATAAAAATAACTTTTTTGTCACTTTGTTTAAATTATTTCTTTGTTTCACCCCTCAGAATTACTCCTCCTCATAGAAATAAACATTAAATTAACAAGTTACCTTTTTGTGTGTGTGTGTTCTTCACTCCCCTTCAAAACAGTGACCAGCGTACATGCCCCTTACAATGTAGCGGGCAGGCGGGAAGTTGACATCGGGACGGTGCGTGACTAACGCACGCACCGCCCCCATGCGACGTCACAGCCAGTACAGCACCCGCCACAGTGGGGAGTGTCGGGGTGCACAGTGCGCCTCCTCCCCTCGCTAGTATCCACCCTCGAGCCGCGGCAAAGGTGTAAAAGAGCCACATGCGGCTCCGGAGCCGCGGGTTGCAGACCCCTGGGTTTAGAATATCAGACTAGGACTTGGGAAACCAGGGCTCAAATCACCCAAGTTGGCCATGAAGCTCAATGGGTAACCTTGAGCTAGTCAATGCCTCTCAGCCTAACCAGTGTTAGAACTGAGATATGAAAGCTAGGAGCTAAATGGCATCTTATCACTAGAGATGAAGAACCAGATAATGTGGTTCTTCCACGGAATTATAGTTTGGAGAGAGTGTGAGAGAGAAACAGCATTAATTAATTTTCTTTTTGTGCCTAAAATAAGAACAGCCCTAATAGGTACCAGTTAGGCCCAGATTACAACTGGTGCTTGCAGGAAAAAAATATTGCATTGTACCAGTCGGCCAGCCCATGTTGTCTGAGCATATTGCATTTGATCCCTATCCCATGGTTTTCCAGTTATCCTCTTATCAACAGATCAACAGTCAGCCAGCATTCTGGGTTTTTTGTTTTTTAAATACTTCTGCATCTCTAGGGCAGTCAATGTGCCTGAACAGTGATTTTCATTAAATCTGGATACTTAAGTTATATTAAATTTTGACATAAATAGAGCAGTAAATGCACAAGTCCTGTATCTAAGAGGAAAAATGGAAAATATTCAATTTAATATAAGGATTATGAAGCGCAATAAAATAACTAAAATGAAAATCAATTAAATACTATGGATTGAGTTTGACCAAACTGCAGGAGGCAGTGGAAGACAGGAGTGTCTGGCGTGCTCTTTTCCATGGGGTCACAAAGAGTCGGACACAACTAAACGACTAAACAACAACAACTAGAGTCTAAACTTTAGGAAACCAATAAGGAAAATATATTTTACTTGTAGAATAACAATTAGGGTAGTGACCCAAGTCAAAAGTTAAGCACTTTTAAGTCGTCCTTCCATTTCAGTGGGAGATTGAAGTATACATGCATTTCTACACCACTATTGATATTACTTTAAAATGCCTAACTTTGGCTAGATTACACACTAGATTTTATAACAATGAATAACTTTCCCTTGCATTAATTAAATACTGTGACTACTACTAGTTACAAGACCTTTTGCAATTGGCACCAAGAATAATATCAGTTTTACTAAACCACTAATTCTTCTAGTAATCTTAAATTAGATGAAAATTAATGTGTGCTGTGTCCCTCTGAAACAGATTTTGCTTACCTTCAGCTAACAATGTTACTTCTTACAGATTCATTCTCTTTTCCCCTTTGCACCGTAACCACACACATTTCCCTCCCCTTACTATCTCCTCTGTTTGCTTTTCCTTTCTACTTTTTGGACTTTGACCTCTTTTCACCCCCACTTCAATCTGGAACTCGAGCATACTTGTCAGCAGACCTGCTCCTATCTCACACAGCACAATACAGTGGTACCTCGGGTTACATACGCTTCAGGTTACATACGCTTCATGTTACAGACTCCGCTAACCCAGAAATAGTACCTCGGGTTAAGAACTTAGGATGAGAACAGAAATCATGCTCCGGCGGCACAGCAGCAGGAGGAGGCCCCATTAGCTAAAGTGGTGCTTTAGGTTAAGAACAGTTTCAGGTTAAGAACGGACGTCCGGAACGAATTAAGTACGTAACCAGAGGTACCACTGTACAACAAACCTAAAACCTCCATATGCTTAAACTGCATTTTAATTTCATTCTCCAAATCTTTGATTTAATGCTTAAGGAGATTCCAACTAAACATCAGGAAGAACTTTCTGATAGTAAGAGCTATTCAACAGTAGAACAGAATCCCTTGGGAGGTTGTGGACAATCCTTCATTGGAGTTTTTAAGTAGAGGTTGGTTGGCCATCTGCCACTGATGCTTTAGTTGAGATTCCTGCATTGTAGGGGGCTGGACTAGATGACACTCAGGGTCCCTTCCAACTCTACTATTCTATGGTTCTATGATCCACTTCTCACACTTATTCTTTAAGTGTACATATTCTGTTCCACTTCTGCTTTGTAAAGTTGCTATCAGCTTCCAGTTCTCATCTTTTAGAAAATGATTTCACAAAACAGAACTCACCACTAGCTTTGGCAATCTATATATTTAACAGACAAGATACGGTCTATATTAAGCTAGGGAAAATCTACTCTATTATTCTATCAGTATAAATATCTGCTATACTACATATTAATATCGCTTTTAAAAACAACATGAAACAAACCGTAATGACATATAGTCCATGGAGATGCAAAAACTATCACACTGCAGAAGGAACTTGAAATATTTTAAAATATTTGCTAGTGCACCAATAAAGTGTCTCGAATAAAGAAAAAAGAAATGCAGTCTCATGTAAACCATCATACAAAGACACAATGCTAAAAGTTTTGGGTTATATTTTGGAAAGAAAAAATGCACACATGCAGTTTATTATTATGCATGTTTGTTCAGAAATAAGTTCAGCTGAGTTTAATGGGACTTGTTCCTCAGTGTCCAACTTTTCTTGGCGGTAAGTTTAACTGAACTCTGAGATGTGGTTCCAAAAAGATGTGCCCATGATCAGATGTCAGTAAACATTCATAACTGTATTACTGATGCCATAGCTACTGAATGCAAAATCAACCATTCAGCAAACATCTAATCGTGTAATTAAGTAAGTTATGCAATATGGTGCTTGCATCTGGAATAACAGACTGTGGCATGGGGGGTAGAATGAGAAAGGGCTGAGTTACTGAGAATAATTTGTACAGTCCATTTACCTTATCAAAAACTGCAAAAATGTTGGAAGTTTAAGACTCCATAAATAAATAAATCCTGTCTCTCACACAGAATTAAGAGAAAATTTTGAAAACTTGACAAATTTCAATTTAACTTTTTTTAAAAAATGACTTCACAGCTAACTGAAAGAGAGACTGGACTGACTGACTGACTGACTGACTGACAGAATTCACAATTCAAATTCTGACATAGTTAACTTTTTTGATATCCTGTTTTTTCTCAGGTGAAAAAATACCAAAATGCTATACAGATGTCAACGTTAACATACTGTCAGAGTTCAAATACTAAATACCACTAGAGGTCAACTTGTCAAACTGTGTATCAAATTAGAATTTTTCCAGACAAATATTTTGAGGAGGTATGGGGGGGGAATCAGATTTATCTACATTATAGTAAATTAAAATACTTATTTACAATTACAGCCTTGCAATTAGTCATTCAGAGGACAAGTGATATGCAAGATCCCACTGCTCTAGCTGTGGTGGGAAATATGAATGGGTTGATGTGTTTGTTTGTATTTTTAAAGCAAGAATTTATGACTGGAATGGACAAGGATTTAAATCAGATACATGTTTTCTGGAATGCCTTATCTGTTTTGCTTGTCACATATGTACCGGAAGTAGCTCAACTGAAAAAGGTAATTTAAACTGTAAGCAGATAAGTAAACAGCAGGCAGTGGAGAACATAGCAGTCAATATATGCAGGTAGCAAGAATATAGCAAAAAGATTGGAAGGCATCTGCGTAACAATAGTAGATGTGTGAACATAGATCCAACACTCTGTTTGAGAAAATCCTACTTTATTTTTGTTGATATTGGACACAATTAATAAAAAGCAATTGCTTCTCCGTTCATCCTTCAACCTGTCCAATAAAAGAGGGCAGGCATTGACTGCATGCTTATAATAAAAAAGTTTAAGGCAACCACAGCAGCAGCAACAGACAACACAATGAACTACAATAAATTCAGCTGCTCTGGGGGAAAATGCAAACGCTGCAAACATGACCAAAATTAAAAACTAACATTTCTGAGAGTACCTAATTTGAACGTAAGTTGAAATCAATGGTATTTGTTTCTCAGTAAAAATGTATATACTTCAGAGTGAAAAAAACCTGCCATACTTCAAGTGCTATGTTCTCCCTTGTCTGCAGTGCGTGGCAGGATATCATCCATCGCAATGTTGAAAAATAGGTAAAAAATGGTCACAACTATTATTGGTTTCAGGCAGTTTACAGTGTTTTGGTGCGGCATATGGTGAGGATCCAAATAAACAGGCTAACTAGTGACCAATACAACCACACTGCCTACATGGTAGGAAAATGTTGAGGGGTGTCAGAAAGCTCACATGTAGCTCAGTACCGTGAGCATCTGTGGAAACCTAGGTGTGCGGCAGGCATGTTAGCTCCCAAACAGGCCGGGGCCTCGAAGTGACAACCGAAGATCCCTTAAGAGGGTCATCCAGTGAGGAATCATTTCTGCTTACCCCTGCAATAAATCCAGTCACAAGTTTGACAAAACTATGCACCACACACTTTGTCCCTCTACCAGGCCAGCACTCTTGCTCACCTGCTCTGTTCCACTCATAGTGGTCAGTGGGACTCTAAGTAGCAGGAGGAGGAGCAAGTCTCTTTGGAAAAGCCTGTTTACACTCATGAAGAAAAATGGAAATTAGAATCTTCAGGAATCTGTCCCAAATCCTTTGTGCCTGTTCGTTATTAAGACCTATAACGACGTTAATGCGTTTTGTACTTCTTTTATGAATGCAACTTTATTGTAAGTTTTATGTTGTCCACCACCATATTTCCCCCCCTTAATGTTAGTGGTGTAGAATTTTTCTCAAATAAATTAAATCAATAATGTATTGACAATAATGTATTTTCTTTTCTTTTTTTTCTTGTTTTGTCTCTGAAGAACTGTGGGGGGTGGGAGAAATAATTCTGGGTTTTTACCAGGTCCTCATATTTCTATCTTACTCATTAAGTCAGTATTCAATCTATTTAATGGAGCTGCATCCTACCTGGAGCTGAATCCTACCTGCAATATATTTACAACGTCCGCCTATGAGTCGTGAAGGCCACTCCCTGCAAGGCCTTTTCCACCTGGCTGAGAGGGCGGGGCCCAGACTCACCCAGCTCTATTACAGAGGCCCCTGGGGAGACTGGAGGGACATTGCTATGCCTGACAACAAATCCTAATTACCGTGGTACCTCGGGCTAAGAACTTAATTTGTTCTGGGGGTCTGTTCTTATCTGAAACTGTTCTTAACCTGAAGCCACCACTTTAGCTAATAGGCTCCGGCTGCCGCTATGCCACCGCTGCACGATTTCTGTTCTCATCCTGAAGCAAAGTTCTTAACCCAAGGTTACTATTTCTGGGTTAGCGGAGTCTAACCTAAAGTGTCTGCAACCTGAAGCGTCTATAACCTGAGGTACCACTGTACAGGCACTGCTGCAAAGTTTCTTAACCCGAGGTACTATTTCTGGGTTAGCGGAGTCTGTAACCTGAAGTGTATGTAACCCGAGGTACTACTGTATTGGATTTCCTTTGCCCCATCTTTTTGTTACTGCCAAACAGCCGTGTCATGCTTATAATATTTGTTCTCGTTAATTATGCTGTTTTAAGTGTGCATTTTATATTTGACTTCACTTAGCAATGTTTTCCTTGAAACGTTTAAGATTTTTGTTTTTGTTTTTTGTTAACTTTGTTGTGTTAAATATGTATTCTGTAGTTGACCTCCGCTGTAATGTTTTATTTTGAAACCTTTGAGATGGTATTTTGGTTCCCTGTTAATTGTTTGCTTTGACTGTGTACTTATACGTTTGACTTTCTTCAGAAATGTTTGATTCTGCATTGTTTTATTGATGTTTAATATGCTGTACACCACTTGAGATTTTAAAGTGGTATAGAAATGAAATAATAATAATACTACAACATATACCGGGGAAAATACAAGATTGCATGCTCCTTATTTACTTGCCTACGTTGATATTCAACACAACAACCCTGCTAAAAGTAAGCGGTTGCAATTGGTGGTGGTGGTAAAAGCAGTAACTGTAACAACAACAACAACACAGTAAAAGGTGATTTATAGCAAAACAAAACACAGGGCCTGCTTCCACAAGAACTAAAAATCTTTAGTTTGTCCGCAAAATTTTAAGAATGTATAAAATGTAAATAAATGAATTCATAATAAGAAGAATAATAAACAAATTAAAAATCTTAAGTGTGACAGAAGTGGGAGAACGGTAGCAGTAAATTGGGGAATAGTGGGGAAACCACAGAAAATCAATATGTACTTACAATTAATCGTAACTTGAGGGAGAAATGGAGGACTGTCAGGGCCTAGGCCAGCTTGAGGCTTTTAGATTCAGATTCAGACAAAGCTTGAGGCTTTTAGATTCAGATTCAGACAAATCTGAATGCAAGGAGACCTTATAAGTGCTGGAGTTCAAGAACTACATTTCCCCAAAGCCTTTCTGTCTTCCTTAAGACTGAAAGCTAGAGAAAAATGGGGGGGGGGGCGCTGGTTCCAGGAAGTAGGGAGAGGGTAAACTGGGAATGAAGTTTGGGGGGGGGGGTTGCAGGTGAGCCCAGATGTGAGAGCTCAGGTGGGGCCTAAACAGGTTGCAGCAATGAGGTAAGAGAATGGGCTGTGCCATTCCAGGCAGCAGGGGGGGTCGTTTTTTTGACTGCTTGTCCTGCATTCAAAACCCAGCTTCAGTTGAAAACACAGCAAAACAGCACAGTGACCAAAGGGATGGGGTAGATCTTTCCTCCCGGCTATGCTCCTTTTCTGTATTCTGGCAGGTTTTCGCGGAAAGAAGATTTGTAGTCCCCCCCCCCCCATACACACAGTCTGAAATGGTGCAACCCACTCCACCCTCTCAGCTTTCTGTGTTTCCTCTGTACTGCAGAACAAGTCTCCCAAAGCCCAACCGTAAACAAGTGTAGTTCTGTTCTGATGGTCTGTCTGTTTCTTTCTTTCTTTCTTCTTCTTTCTTTCTTTCTTTCTTTCTTTCTTTCTTTCTTTCTTTCTTTCTTTCTTTCTTTCTTTCTTTCTTTTCTCTTAAGCTTGTTTTTTAGTTTCTATAAATAAATAGAACAAACAAACCCCATGTACCCACCCCAAAAAACATTCAATGCAAATACAATGTAAATAGTCCTATTCAATGCAAATACAATGTAAATAGGTTTGTAAATGATTTACAATTGCTTTCATCAGTTAGGAGTCTTCTGCTCTCCATCTTAACATATTATCCCAGGTGACTGTCCTCTCCAATGTCCTGAATAAACATGTACTAGAACAGGTTAAAAATAATTGTTGATCTTCATGTTCCTGAGCACACTTAAGATGCTTCATTTGTTGCTTCATAAGGGCTATATTAAGGGACGCGGGTGGCGCTGTGGGTTAAACCACAGAGCCTAGGACTTGCAGATCAGAAGGTCGGCGGTTCGAATCCCCACGACGGGGTGAGCTCCCGTTGCTCGGTCCCTGCTCCTGCCAACCTAGCAGTTCGAAAGCACGTCAAAGTGCAAGTAGATAAATAGGTACCGCTCCAGCGGGAAGGTAAACGGCATTTCCGTGCGCTGCTCTGGTTCGCCAGAAGTGGCTTAGTCATGCTGGCCACATGACCCAGAAGCTGTACGCCGGCTCCATAGGCCAATAAAGTGAGATGAGCGCCGCAACCCCAGAGTCGGTCACGACTGGACCTAATGGTCAGGGGTCCCTTTACCTTTACCTTTAAGGGCTATATTATTCCATATTCCCCACCATGCCCCTGATGGCTTCCTAACACATTATACAGACTGCGCGATGAAAGCCTTGGAAGAGCCCTTGGAAGGGCTTAAAATAATACTGAACTGCAATCACAGAAAGATTTGGATTCATTCATTTTGAATCCAGTTACTATGTTAGAGCACCTGGTTTGGTTAGCTGTATGTCATTTCGATTTCCAGGGCAATAACAGGGTTAGATCATTAACACAAGTGGTGTCACCACGTGTTTCCAATCCAGGTTACACTAGTTTATCTTCTAAGTACACGAGAGAAAGGAAGAACTTCAGAAGAGACCATTGAATCAGGCTAATGTCCCATCTAGTTCACCACCCTGTTTTCACATGACTAGAAAAGGGAACAAGCTATACCTTTTCATTTACTTCATTTTAATATATAAATACAGTGTGTCTCTGGTTGGTCTGAAACCTGTATGTTAAAGTAAGCACATATTTGATTAACTTGTGGCTTGACTTGTTATAATTCCCTTTTCTTGCCTGCTGTAAGAAACCAGAGATTTGCTGAGTATTGCATCTCCTGTTTTCCATTTAGTGCATATTGCTAATGTGCTCCATTATACTGTTTCTGCTTCATATTTCTGTCCATTTGTATTGAGTCTTCTGACCTTGTAAAGTGATAATTCTGACACCACTTAAACCCAATTTCAGCAGACTTACCTT